GGACCGTTCCGCTCAACCCGACAGGGCACTGGTGAAAGACAAACTGAAAAAATCTAAAAAAACATTTTTAAGCTGTGATTCCAGGTGGATAACCCCTTTTTCTTCAGGCCCCTCCCATTTTTTTGTTTTAAACAAACCCCTTTAAAGACCAAAAAAGGGCAGGTAAAAAAAGGTTTTACCTGGATGAAAATCCGAAGACAAAGAATTGATGCAAAAGGAAACCTCAGAACCTGGCCTATCTCTCGTGACATCATGGATTAAAACATCATGGGAAGACATGCCTAAAGAAATGATCATCAAGAGTTTTTTTTAAAGAACAGGCATCAGCAACTAAATTGGACGGCACAGACAGGACGGACCTTGCTGTGGGACAATTCAGACCTCCAGAAGAAAGCAAAGGAAGCTGGAGTAAACAGATGTTCCTGCCAAACAGGGACACTGGATGATTAAATTAACTCTTGGATGAATGGGATACAACTCTTTAGTGTCATCTGATGATGATGAATATAGACTTTGATGCATTCATAATACAATATTGTTACCGGTAATTTTATTTCGGTATTGTGTTTACCTTGTCAATAAATGATTTTTATCATGGCCGCACGTGTCAACAACGTTTGTCAATTACAATGCTTGGTCTGAGCCGAGGAAAAGTGAAACAAAATTTTATACGATTTTTAATCGGAAAATTAGGTGTGCGCATTTATATAACATGTAGTGCGCGTTATACTCGAATAAATACGGTATCTTCATTTAATTTGGTCAGCCAGGAACAAGTAGGTACAGTCAATATCTTGGTTGAGTCACAAAAATAGGATTGATGTGGCCAAAAATAAAAACACTCCTGCTCATAAGAGCTTAACTAATCTAAGATACTTCTAGTGAACTGTGTGTGCACAGGTTATAGCAGGAAACAAAGGGGAGATGAATCAAGTAACATTGTCGTGCACATAGGATTTACTTACACAATCACTTAGTATAAAGATCCATTCAAAAAAAAAAGTCTACAGATCAAATTAGAGATGAGCGAATCGAACATGGCGAAGTGGAATTCGTTTCGAAGTTCAGGAAAAATTCGATTCGCGCCGAATCCGAAAATTAGCAAACTTCGGATGCACGAATCGAATTTTCCCAAAAATGGCGGCGACATGTGTGGCGACGGAGCGGGGATCTCTGGGAAGGCGCGCAGACAAGGCGCGCTGACCCATAATGCATTCATTCATGACATGTGATCGCATTAGCCAATCAGCAGCCAGCCAGCCAGCACTGTGTAATGGTGGAGCTATAAATTGCGGCCATCTTACAATTCTCCATTAGCCTCCGCTCATTCAAGAGAGACAGACCTGTCTGTATTCGGGACAGAGTTAGGGCCAGAGAGACTTTAGGGCCACAGAATCGTTACTTAGGGACACAGAATCGTTACTCAGGGACACAGAATTGTTACTCAGGGACAGACACAGAATTGTTACTCAGGGACACAGAATTGTTACTGAGGGACACAGAATCATTACTGAGGGACACAGAATCGTTACTCAGGGACACAGAATCGTTACTCAGGGATACAGAATTGTTACTCAGGGACAGACACAGAATTGTTACTCAGGGACACAGAATCGTTACTCAGGGACACAGAATCGTTGAATTAAAGAGTATGTCAGGACAACACGCAGAGGAGTGGCAGAGGAGGCAATGTTTCAGGAGCGAGCAGATTTGGCAGCAGAGGAAGGGTCGAGGCAGCACTAGTCGCAGCCAGAGGCCAGTACTCCCGGTGTCATCCAGCGGTCGTGTCTCCACCGACAACCCTGCCGTCATCGATTGGTTGGCTCGGTCGTCTTCCTCTTCCCAGGTCACCCTCTGACACCTACAGCCAACGGTCGGTGGGTACGTCAGACACAACCGTTAGTTGGCATGGCCCGGGAGCAAGCCCACTGAAATCACGTGTCCTCTACCTGCCCCTGTCCTTTGGTGTTCCCTCACCAAGCGAAGTATCGCATGCTGTGGGCTCAGCCCCACTGTACAGTGAGGAAGAGCTAAACAGAGGGCGGTCAGGAACGGGGGGAGACATCCGCCTCTTCAGCAGCCAGGCGAAGAACAAGTACTGGCGAGGAGAGTGGCTCGGTAGCCGGTCTAGAGACAGGTCTGTCTCCTGACCCACACGCAGCCGAGGGGGCTAGTAGTGAGGCGGAGACCCTAATTGATGATTGATGAGGCTGATCGCACTTGGCAGCCTCGTCGTCATCTGCCAGGCCGTAATCTGCCATGGGCCCCCGTACCGACTCCTCATGCTGCTGCCATGCCCGTAATCTGTCATGGGCCCCTGTACCGCCTCATCATGCTGCTGCCAGGTCCAGAGTGTGTCATGGGTTCCTGTACGGCCTCCCATTGCTGCTGTCTCCATCGCCACACTCTGCCATGTGCCACTTTCAGGTCTCCTCACACTGCTGGTGGGTTCCATTTTGTCCATAGGGTGCTGGCAGATTACGGGCCTCCCATTGCTGCTGCCAGGCCCGTAATCTGCCATGGGCCCCCGTACCGACCTCCTCATGCTGCTGCCAGGGCCCGTAATCTGTCATGGGCCCCTGTACCGCCTCCTCATGCTGCTGCCAGGTCCAGAGTGTGTCATGGGTCCCTGTACGGCCTCCCATTGCTGCTGTCTCCATCGCCACACTCTGCCATGTGCCACTTTCAGGTCTCCTCACACTGCTGGTGGGTTCCATTTTTTCATTCATAGGGTGCTGTATGGCCTCCCATTGCTGCTGCCTCAACCGCCACACTGTGGCTCCACACGCTGGTTTTGGCCCCGTGACTGCCCAAATGAGTGAAGTGTGCGGTGATTCTAAGATCGACGGCACTCATCTGCATGTCATACTGACTGACAGTATTATTTCTCTTCCCCCAGCAGACTCTCAAGGGCATTTAAATTAAAGGTACAGTGTTCTGCACTAATATAAAGGCTCTCTGAAGCTAGAAACACCCTTTTTATAAGTTAAATTCGCAGCGAATATATTCGACTCAAATCGAATTTATTCCGCAAATTCGCCGAATCGAATTTTTGAATAATTCGCTCATCTCTAATCAAAATATCAAGAAAACAAAGCATGGGGAAAAAAAAAAAACCCTCCAACCTCTACACAAATCCCCTACAGATACATTTGTCAGCAGGTTTGTCAGAAAAATGCATTGGAGTCTAAATAAGCAAGCAAAATTAAAACAAGAGCAGATTTTAAACAAAACGATTGACATGTGTGAGGCTTTCAATGCAAAGAGAAAAAAACACAATCATTGTGCAATAACACACAAACACTTACAAGGCCAAAAATATGCAAACATTTCCAGCCCACTTCCAAACACAGCCTGAGTGGTGTCTGGGGCAATTCAGCACAAAAATCTCTTCTTCCCCCAAACCACACCATGCAAGGACTTAGTCAATCAAAACCACACGGCCTAGTAACAGGCCAAATCACTCACTACTGCACATCTTTATATAAGCTAGGTTGTATTTGGAGCACGCCAAACAAGGCCCCACACCCAATGAAGCCACCACCCACCACTGACCTTAATTTGGTCAGTGAAAGTGTTTTCACCTGATGAATCCGCTTCCTACCTGCATTAACCCTTGGGGTATACAGGCCTCACAAATCAGAAAGAAATATACAGTGAAATGTACGTGTGCAGCATACAACAGAACATTGAGCGGGGATGTGAAAGGGAACCCCAATTGGAACCGTTATTGCTACTATGGTCACAATTCCCTCCAGATTCTCGCATGAGTTAAGACAGTCACATGACCACATCTTGTATGCAATACTGAAAATGACAAATCGATTTGACTAGTATGGTGAATTTCCCATCAATTGGCAAAACACACTCCAGAAATCAAACATCACCAAACATTACACTCTGGGCAAAGCTGATTTACAAATCCTGCGACTTACAGTAAAGTTGACCATTTCAATGCAATTTTCAAGACATCTGACACAGATCTCTATGCAAATTGCCACTAAAGTAGTACATGTACTACTTAAGAAATCAGTGTTTGAAACGCACCCATATGGTCGCTCTAATAGCAGACAATAGGGTGCGACTTTGCAGACGATTTACAACTTGCATGTTGTGCTGCAAATCACATACCAAGTCCCACTCAATGTGCACGCTATTGGAGTGTTCATATTGTTGTGGTTCAAACTTGGTAGGAGCCGCAAGTAATAATAGAGTAATGAATACACTACTTTTCATGCAATTTGCTGAGAGATCGATGTCGAATGTCTTGCAAATTTGCACTTGAAATCACCATGTGCCCTAACTTTGAAATCATGCAACTTCTATGCAAGTCACATGATGTGACTGTGGCGTCAATAACACCACTTAGAAATCTGCTTTAATGTGACCGGGTAGCCCCCAGTAAAATTGTTTGCGATTGCCATGCAATTGGCATGACAGGCGACTTGCAAATCGTTAGACCAAGTCGCACCCTATTGGCCACTGTAGGCTCTGTTCACATCCAATTGGATTGTGAACTCGTGCAACTTCACTGTAAGTTGGGCAATTGCCGCATCGGATTAGATGTGACAGTGGTGTTAGCCCCCAGTAACATTGTGTGCAATTTGCCATGCAAAGGGCAAGTTGCTGGCCATGCCAATCGCATGACAAGTCGCATCCATGGGTGTGCAATTTCAGGTGCGATTTGTGAATTGACATCGTACCTGATATTGGATATAATGAATGTGAATGTGAGTGTATTAACGTACGCCATTTGTTGCAGTGAGAGTTCCAAGGTATTTGAAGATTTTGGCCATTTATTAGCAATTTAACATCTAGACTCAAATAGAAAATCGCAATGCTACACACAATTGAAAACACAACTAGTTAGTAATTCTCTAGAAAACACAGTAAAATTGGCAACTTAAACAGTATTTTCAATTGCATATAGTGTGAACGAAGCAGGAAAATCAACAAAGAAATAAAATCTTTGAAGGCGTGCGGTACCTGCCTGCTGGGATAAGGGTCTGCTTTGTATTTGGTGGAAAAATCCATACCCAGTATTTGTGACAAGTTTGATGTGTGGATTAACCAACCAAGTCTTTTCTCTCTCGCTCACTCTTCTTCGTGTCACTGGCTCGCTCTTCTCTCTCTCTGTCAGCTCTTTGCTTGCCAAATCCTTCACAAACGTGGCTGGAGTGTAAACCATCATTATCAAATCTATTAGTGCTCCAGGCCCTTATATTACCCCATTGTATGACATTCACATAAGGTGCAGCTTTGAAGGTGTTTCAACAGACAAGGCCTCATTCTAATTCACATTTAGGGATCATTTAGACAGAAAGCAAAGATGTTGCCAGAACATCTATTTGAAGACAGCCACACACGGAGATCATGCTACTTCCTTGCCGTGGTTGGGATTCAAACCGACAACCCTAGAGTTGTGAGGCAGTAGTGCTAACCACTAATCCACAGAGCTACATTGCTAATCCAGCCTGTATTTTCTGTGCTGTGAATCAATCTTAGGTCCCTGGGCAAGGTCAGTGTAACTACCAGATATCTCCAATGTGACACAAATGTTGTGCTATGTTGTTGCCAATTCAGATGTATGTTGGTTCTATGTATCCCAATATACAAAGGATTGCAATACTAATACAGGCGTACCTCGGTTTACCAATACCTCAGGGAACGTCATATTTGGGGTACAAATGCCAAACCATTTCAGTTAATTGGTCTGTTTACAAATGTTTGAATAATTTGGTATGGGCATGTGGCCTGGTATGGTTCAGGAGGGGGGGAGGTGCTCGCTTGTCCCCCCCCCCCCTTTCCTGACCTGCTGGGCTGCATGCTCAGATAAGTATCTGTTATGGATTTTGGGGGGTACCCCATGCTGTTTTTTTATTTAATTTCAGCGTGGAGTTACCCCTTAACATCCATACGAGACCTGAAGGGACTTAGTATGGATGGGAGGGGGGACCCCACGCCGGGTTTTTTACAAATTGTTTATAATTCCCTGCAATACTTTTTACATCAACTGTCAGTGGGGAACTCCGCCGACAGCTGAAACATGAGCGCTGCATTGGTTTTCGCTACTAAAATGCTGCATGAGTTGATAACATAACTCATGCGGGATTGTAGGAGCAAACAGCCATGTGTTAATGTTTCAACTGTCAGCGGGGTTCCCCACTGACAGCTGAATGTAAAAAAAAAAAAAAAAGCGTGGGGTCCCCCCTCCCATCCGTACCAAGCCCTTCGGATCTGGTATGGATATTAAGGGGGAACTCCACGCTGAAATAAAAAAAAAACAGCTTGGGGATCCCCCCAAAAATCCATACCAGACCCTTATCCGAGCATGCAGCCCGGCAGGTCAGGAAAGGGGGGGGGGGCGAGCGAGCGCCCCCCCTCCTGAACTATACCAGGCCACATGCCCTCAAACATGGGGGGGTGCTTTGGGGAAGGGGACTCCCCCCCCCAAAGCACCTTGTCCCCATGTTAATGGGGACAAGGGCCTCTTTCGTTATTGGGATAATTGGTCGGCCATTTTTTGGGATTTTAGCATATTTTTGTTTACCAGTTAAAGTTGAAAATTTTTTGTTCCAAATTTACTGATAAAAAAAAATGTGCCAAAATCCCGAAAAACAGCTGACCAATTAACCCACTAACGGCCCGAAAATCGTTTCGATTTTTTTTTTCGGCAGAAAAATCGGCCGATTTTAGACCCATCTATGGCCTGCTTTACATGGGTCTAAAATCGTCCGCATAAAAAAAATCGGCCTGATTTTCGGGCCCGTTAGTGGGTTAATTGGTCAGCCATTTTTGGGGATTTTGCAACTTTTTTTAATTGGTAAATTTGGATAAAAATTGGCCGATTTTGCAGATCAGCCGATTTTAGCTGCAATGATCGGGCAAATTGGCTGATCTTTTAACAGATAAAAAATCTGCACATGAGCCATGACCTGCAAGAAAAAGAAGAATAAAAAAAAAGAATAAGAAAAAAAAATGCAGGCCATAGATGGGGCGAAAAGAAAACTGACCGTTTAAAAAAAAAAAAAAAAAAAAAAAAATCGGTTGTTCAATGGGCCGATGTTACCCACCCAATGGTAAAAAATTGTTCGATTTTCGCCCCATCTACGGCTTGCAAATATAATAGCAAAGTAATTATAGTACAAAGTAAGTGCCCAGCTGGCCCCCGCCCCATACCTATATAAGAAACGTCAGCTAGCCTCTTCTTCACAAGGCTGGAAGCCTCCGACCCCGACTGGAGCGGAAACCTTTTTTTTTTTTTTTTTTTTTCGGGTCCCCCCGCCGCCGCTGTGATTGATGTTGGATCTACTTCGGGGGACATTGTTTTAATAAAGGACTTGTCAAAGACCCTGTACTGTGTTTTTTTTAACACCACACTTAGTTTTTTTGTGAATAAGTCTGCGGGACCATGTACCGCAGACTCGTTCACGTAGGGGGGGGCCGGGATCTGGGGGCCCGCTTGTTAAAGGGGGCTTCCAGATTCTGATAAACCCCCAGCCCGCAGACCCCAACAACCACCGGCCAGGGTTGTGGGGAAGAGGCCCTTGTCCTCATCAACATGGGGACAAGGTGCTTTGGGGGGGGGAGCCCCCCCTGCCCAAAGCACCCCCCCATGTTGAGGGCATGTGGCCTGGTATGGTTCAGGAGGGGGGGGGGGGCGCTCGCTCGTCCCCCCCCCCCCTTTCCTGACCTGCCGGGCTGCATGCTCGGATAAGGGGTCTGGTATGGATATTGAGGGGGACCCACGCTGTTTTTATTTTTAATTTCAGCGTGGAGTTCCCCCTTAATATCCATACCAGACCCGAAGAGCTTAGTATGGATGGGAGGGGGGACCCCCACGCCGGTTATTTAAAAAACTGTTTATAATTCCCTGCAATACTTTGACATTCAACTGTCAGTGAGGAACTCCGCCGACAGCTGAAACATGAGCGCTGCATTGGTTTTTCAC